CTTGAACTCCCCCACCCAGAGTGCATTCTGTGCCCTTGCCATCCTCAGTGCTTCCTCGAAGTGTTGTTCAACATGGAGGAGCAATGAGTTATCAGCCAAGGAAGGACGGTATGTGATAATCAGCAGGAGGTTGCCTTGCCCATATTTGCTTCGTGGGATCGGAAGTCAATGTTGGGGACTCCCAAGGTAACTCCCTCCCGCCACCTCTGCTGGGTCTGTCCTGCCAGTGGGACAGGATATATCCAGGGATGGTGATGGTGGTGTCTGGGACATTTCCTGTAAGGTGTGATTCCATGAGTATGACTGAGTCAGGCTGTTGGTTGATTAGTCTGTGAGACAGCTCTCCCAATTTTGACACTAGCCCCCAGATATTTAAAAGAAAATGTTTGCAGGGTTGAGAGGGCTCTTTTTGCCATTTTTGTTTCTGGTGCCTAAGTTGCTGCCAGGCAGTCCTGTGGTTTTCATTCCTTTTTTTGAGACGTTTTAGCAATTTGATACAACTAATGGCTTGTTGGGTCAGTACAGAGAGCAATTAAAAGTCATAGAGTCATACAGTCAACCATATTGGCTGGTTGTGAGAGACAAACATTGGGGCAGATAGAGTTGTGGCAGAGAGCAGAGTCATCCACCTTGGACTCAAAAGGAATATACCAGACTGTGAACAAACACCTCCACCCGCAAGTTCCCTCCAAAGCATTCACGACCCTGACTGGGAAATATATCGCTGTTCTTCCTGTGTCACTCGGTCAGAATGCTGGGATTCCCTCCCTAACAGCATTTTAGGTCAAACTACACCAAGTGAAATGCAGCGGTTCAACAAGACAGCCCACCATCACTTTCCCAAGAACAATTAGGGATGGGCAATAAATGCTGGTCCAGCCAGCGATGCCCACAATCTCATGAGTGAATAGTACAAAAAGGCAAGAACCTAGGAACTGTGGAAGATTGATAAAGAAATGGTAGGGCTCTGGGAAGCACCAAGGATCAGATGGACCTTGGTGTGCACATAAGGTCTCAGGACAGGTCTCTGATGTGACCTTCCCACTCTCTTTCTGATCAGCTCACATTTGCCCAATAGCTCAATCACTTCATTCATAATTAGAAATTCTTGTAGCTCTCCCACGTCTGACATTATACTGAATCTCCTGCTGAACTTGCCTAATTCTTAACTAATGGAGCGACAATCACAAACATCAACGTAAATATTGAAACAAGAGAGCTTTGAATGATTATGACTCATACTTTTGGAATTTCCTGACACCTACGGTGAATGACAGAGTTTACAGTGAGGCTCCCTCTCTCTGACAATCAGGAACTGGCAGAAAATGCCAGTGAGGCTCACATCCATGAATGTGGCTAAGAACTCAGATGGTATTGTTGTTTTAACAGTGGGTGCATAGCACTTAAGAGCAGGGCGGTCATGCTGGAACTGTATAAAACATTGGTTAGACTCTAGCTTGATGGAGGAATCAATAACTGGAGCTTAGACTTAGGGTAAGAGACAGACAGTTTAAGAGGAGATGTGAGGGAATTTTTTTTCATCCAGAGATTGGTGGGAATCTAGAACTCACTGCCTGTAAGGGTGGTAGAGGCAGAAACGCTCATAATACTTAAGAAGTATTTAGATGTGGAAGTGCTAAGGCATACAAGGATATGGACCACATGTTGGAAATGGGATTAGAATAGATAGATGGTTGTTTTTGGCTGGCATGGGCATGATGAGCCAAAAGGCCTTTTTCTGTGCTGTCAATCTCAATGACTTTATGACTCTCAATGTGTACTAAAATCATTAAAACCAAGAAGTGGACGAATGCAAATAAAAACTTGGAAAAGCTAATGAAATGTTATTCTTAATCTCAAAAGAATTGAATTGGAAAGAGTGGAAGATAGGCTGTTGCTGTATAGAACTCCGGTTACAGAATCAATTCTCGGCATGGCTCCTCAGAAAGATTTACAGTACTTTGTGAATGCAGTGTAAATTCATCAGAATGAGACCAGAAAGCAAAGATTAAATTAGCAGGAAGTCAGCTTGTAGATGCTTTGTTCCTCATCAATCTGTTCAGAGGTGTTATTATACACTTGTGAAGTAGATGGGACTTCAATCCAGAGCAGTAATAGGGACACTACCATGACAACACAAGGGCTCACTTTGAAAAGGCTTGTGTTTCCTAGAGTGCTGAGGATTAGGTGGACAATCTGATTGAAGTGTTTGAGATGATTAAATCTCCTCGCCATAATTGGGGTTCAGGGAGGGGATTGATAATCTTAAAAATTAGAGCTAAGTTGTTTATGCTGATCCCAGAAAGAACATTTTTGCACAAGCCAAAAATGTCCTCACGCTAAAGCTCTCATCTCCATTGAAAATGCAAAAAATTGAGAGGAGTTGATTGAGTGTTTGCAGAGATTCCTCAGGGACATCGCCCTGAGGTGCAACCCTCCTCCACTGTCCTTCCTCTTACCCCCACTCCCCTTCAAATATGGCCACTCAGTGTCCTTCTCACTTGCATCTCTCCTAACAGATGTTGATTCCACAATGATCCCAACCCCACCTTGGTTTGATTCCTTATATCCCAACCTGTGGGATTCCATCCACAATTCCACCAGACCATTGCACCTCTCTGACCCTATCACCAAATTCCAGGTTTGCTGGCCCATTCCTGGGGTAAAACTAAAGCCATATGTAAAAACGGTGAAAGTTTAAGATGCAGTTCCCTTGTAATCAAATTGAATGATGTAGTAGGCTGGAAGAGCAACACTTGTGTTCTCATGCTTCTCATCCTCTCCTTGTCAGTGTCTGGACTACATCTGGAGAACTAGGCTCCCTTTTGTACACAAGACCTCGAGAAGGATATTCTATCCTTGGAGATAGTACAACGCTGATTCATTAGACTCTGAAGAAGGGGTTAAACTGCTAGATTAGACAAACAGTTTGCAATCATTTGGGTTCCTCTCCCTTGAGTGTAAAATATTGAGGAGTGATCTTACCATGGTGATTAAAATAGTAAAACGAATTTAATGGGATTCTCTTCTACTCCAAGATTGTGCTTTCAGTGCTCAAGTCGATTCTCACTTTTAAGGGAGTGGAGCTAAAGGCGGGCAAAATGGGTGTTGAGAAATGGATTAGCCATGATCTAATTGAGGTTCAAGGGTTGAGTGGCTTATTCCTGATCCTGATGTGTATCAAATCATAATGTGCTGATTATGTACTGCTGCAGCGTTTACTTTCATCGAAAAGCATTTGATTTGTTTGAGTGAAAATCGAAACTCTATTCATACTGTTAGGCTTGGCTCAGTGGTAACAATCTTATCTCCATGACAAGGTTGGTGGTTCAAGTCCCACTATAGTAAGTTAAGCACATCATTTACATTGAGGGAGTTCTACACTGAAGTGTCAGATTACTGTGCAGAATGTAAAGTGTCTTTGGGCATTCTGAAGTTGTAAAAAGATGCAGTTTAATTTCAAGCTCTTTCTGCGTTTTGTTTCTCATGCCTTCAAAAATGATTTGGATGCAATGAATTTGAACTATGTTGAAATATAAGTTTTAATTTAATTTTGCTGCAGAACGTGTATCATCCTATGAGATGCCAGCTCTGCTTATCAACCTGATCTGACTTGAGCTAACATGATTAGAAATTCAAACCTGATTATCATTGACAGAAATGGTTGTAATATTAAGTGTTTTCAGAGACTCTTTGGGGATATCAACCAGTGGTAACATCCTTCCACACCCCCACTGTCACCCCTCCTCCCCCCTGTCAAGTATGGTCACTCAGTGTCCTTCTAACTTGAGTCTCTCATGGCAGATGTTGATTCTACAATGATCCTAACCCCAGTCGTTTGATTCCTTTTATTCCAACCAATGGGATTCCATCCACAGTTCTACCAGACTATAGCACCCCTTCAACCCTATCACCAGGTCCCAGTTTTGCTGGCCCATTCCTGGACTCCAGGACTCGGAAAATCCAGGACAGTTCTTTCCCAACTTTTATCCACAAATATAACCCCAGCTGTCTCTGTGGTGCTGTTAAATATGTTATTCTTGCCTCTACTTTCTACATATTTGTGACGTTCTTGAAGGCGAGATTGATTGGGGAGATAAAGTAGTTATGTTGTATTTAGATTTTCAAAGGAAGGTCAAGGCATGGAGTCTGTCCCTGTGTAGTGCCCAACACCTCCAAATGAACTGTAAGACCAAAGGAAATAGGAACAGGGGTGGGCCATTCAGCCCCTCGAGATTACTCCACTATTCAATAGGATCATGGCTGACCTGACATTGTTCATGTCCACTTTCTTGCTGTTACCCCCTAACCTTCATTCCCTGACTGATCAAGAATCTAAGACTGATCTCAGTCTTAAGGACTCTGCCCCCACAGCTGTCTGTGGCAAGGAGTTCCAAAAGAGAAGAAACTCCTCCTCATCTCAGTCTTAAATTGGCACCCCTTTATTCTGCAATGATACCCCCTGGTGCTAGACTCTCCCTCTCAGTATTTACGTTGTCAAGCCCCTTAAGAATCTGAGATGTTTGAATGAGATCACCTCTCATTCTTCTAAACACCAGTGAATAGAGTCACAACCCATCTAGCCTATGCTCGTGGACCATCCCTTCTAGTGATAATCCTAGTGAACCTTCTCCGAACTGCCTCCAATGAAATAGTATCTTCCCTTAAATAAAGGGGAAAAAACTGCTCACAGTATTCCAGATGTGGTGTGCCCAGCACCTGGTACTCTTAACCCCCTTGAAATAAGGGCAAGCATTCTATTGGCCTTCCTGATGACCCCATTGTACAGTTACTGCCCCCTTGGTAAACTTTGGAAGAGAATGTGTATCTACCCCGCCCCTGACTGCAAAGTCTCAGGCATGAAGAGAAAGGAAACACATTGTCTGTAGGAAAGGAGAGCATAACCTTGTCCTGGAAATACCCAGCGGGCACTTTGTTGATTTGTAAGCTGGTCTTTAAAAGGAAAACAACTCAAACTCTCATTTCTCGCCTCCATCTAGGTGCAAAATTTCCCATCAAATGGACTGCACCTGAAGCTGCACTATACGGGAGGTTCACAATCAAGTCCGATGTCTGGTCCTTTGGCATTCTGCTGACAGAGCTGGTGACAAAGGGGAGAGTGCCATATCCTGGTAAGAAGTGTCGACAGTGTAAACACATTTATTTGGTATGCAACAAAGCAGGGATCTAAGAAAGACATCTTCCTGTTTGCCTGTTTTTAAATGAAGATCTCAAGCCCCCTCAGACTCTTTTACATATTTCAATGGTTTGAAGTATTTTCTGTGCATGAATGAATCATTTCGAAACTCAGTTCAGTGAGTCCAGCATCAATATATAGTGGCCCAGGGACAGTTTTTCACTCGTGCGTAAATTGGTTCAGACTCTGGAATCCCCACAAAGGCAGGTGTTGTAAGCTGAGCTGATATCCACAATTGTCAGTTCACGCCACACTGAAATACTGTGTACAGGTTTAGTCTCCATAGCTCAAGAAAGAAATCATTCAGTGTGATTTGGACCATTTGAGTGGGCAAATGCATGGCAAATGAAGTATAAAGTGGATAAATCCGAGATTATCCACTTCGATAGCAAGTCATCTTGATTAACTGGGCTGAGGAGTGGCAGATGGAGTTTAATTTGGATAAACATGAAGTATTGCATTTTGGTAAAACAAACAAGTGTCGGACGTATACAATTAATGGTAAGGCGCTGGGTAGAGTGAAAGAACAGAGAAACCTAGAGGTTCAGGTCCATAATTCTTTGAAACTTGCGTCACAAGTAGATAGGGTGGTTAAGAGGGCGTTTAGCACACTTGCTTTCATTGCTCAGACTTTTGAGTATGGGAGTTGGGACGTCATTTTGAGATTGTGCAGGACATTGGTGAGGCCTTTCCTGGAGTACTGTGTACAGTTCTGGTCGCCCAGTTATAGGAAGGATATTATTAAGCTGGAGAGGGTTCAGAAAAAATTTACCAGGATGTTGCTGGGAATGGAGGGTTTGAGTTATTAAAATAGACTGGATAGGCTGGAACTTTTTTCACTAGAGCATGGGAGGTTGAGGGCTGACCTTCTGAGGTTTATAAAGTCATGAGGGGCATAGATAAGGTGTATGACAACGGTCTTTTCCCTGGGGTGGGGAGTTAAAAACTAAGGGGCATGTTTTCAAGATGAGAGGAGAAAGATTTAAAAAGGACATGAAAGGCAACTTTTTTTTACACAGAAAGTGGTTCATGTTTGGAAAAACCTGCAAGAGAAAATGGCGGCTGCAGATCCAGTTACAACGTTTAAAAGCCATTTAGATGAGTACATGAATAGGAAAGGTTTGGAGGGATATGGGTCAAGTGAAGGCAAGTGGGACTAGTTTAGTTTGGGAACATTTCGGCATGGACTGTTTAGACTGAAGGGTCTATTTCCATGCAGTATGACTATGACTGTAATACAGGAAGGCCGATTATTATCTGGAAGGTGATAAACTGGGAAAGGAGGACGTGCAATGAGACCTGGATGTCCTTACACACCAGTCACTGAAATTAAGCATGCAGGTGCTGCAGGCAGTATGTTAGCCTTCATAGCAAGGGGATTCTGGTACAGGAGCAGAGATGTCTTACTGCAGTTATACAGGGCCGATGTGAGACCACACCTAGAGTACTATTTGCAGTTTTGGTCTCCTTATCTGAAAAGAATGTTCTTGCTATGGAGGGAGTGTAATAAAAGTTTCCAGCCTGATTCCTGGGATGGCAGGACTGTATGGGGAGAGACTGGATCAGATAGGACTGTAGTCACTGAAGTTTAGAAGAATGAGGGGCAATCTCATAGAAACCTATAAAATTCTAACAGGATTAAACAGGGGTAAATGCAGGCAGGATGACTGGGGAATCCAGAACCTGGGGTCCCTCTCTAAGATGCAGGGCAGGCCATTTAAGACTGAGATGAGGAGAAATTTCTTCACCCAGAGAGAGGTGAGCCTGTGGAATTCTCTACCGCAGAAAGTGGTTGAGGGCAAAACATTGAATGTTTTCAAGAAGGCGTTAGATGCAGTTCTTAAGGCCAAAGGGATCGAAGGGTATGGGGAGAAAAACAGAAAGAAGTTACTAGGTTGGATGAACAGCCACGATCATATTGAACAGGCTCAATGGGCTGAATGGCCTACTCCTGCTCCTTTATTCTATGCTTCTATTCAGCCCATTGAGGGAGTGCAACAAAGGGGTCACCAGATGTGTTCCTGGGATGGCAGGTCTGTCCTGTGAAGAGAGATTTGGCTGACTGGGTTTGCATTCTTCAGAGTTTTGAAGAATGAGACGTGAAAGCGGTGAAACTAACAAAATACTTAAAGGAATGTACTTAAAGGAATGGACAGGGAAGGTGCAGGTAGGATGGTTCCCCTGGTTGGGAAGTCTAGAACCAGGAGGCATAGTTTAAAAATAAGAGGAGGCCATGTAGGACAAAGCTGAGGAGGATGTGTACTAGTCAGAGGGGTGTGAACCTTTGAAATCCATCACAGAGGGCAGTTTAGGCTCAGTCTTTGAGTATGTTTATGGTAAAAATTGATATATATATAGGATCACAGGAATGGAGTGGGTACAGGCATTGAAGTGTTTGATTAGCCATGGATCGTATTGAATGGTGGGGTAGACTCAATGAGCTGAATAGTCTACTCCTGTCCCCATAATTTCAACGTTCAGTTTTACTTTTAACCACATGTTTCCAGTGAAGGTTTGTTACAGGCTCCCGCTCTTTTCAAAAGGATGAAGTAAGGAGCGCTAAATTAACGCAAACTTACCACCACATCGACTATCTCTTGTACAGAGCACAATGCAAGGGACTTTGCTTTTACACACAGCAATAAATAGCATCTGTGGGTGTGCAGTTGGCGGGTATTTGGCACTTGAGGATAAGTATTGCCCAGGTCATTAGGGAACCCCAACCCTCCTCCACCATCACCATTGACAAAACCGTTCTCCCCACCCCTCAAGCATCACCATCAACCTTTGTTCAAAACAGTGCCACATCCAGAGAGGGCAGGCGGAGCTTTAACTGCAATGAATCCCAGAATTCTTAGAGTGCAGAAGTAGGCCAACTCAGCCCATCATATTTGCTCCAGTTGTCTTTCATTAGCGCCAATCTTCTGCCTTTTCCCCATATCCCAAACATACCGTTTCTATCCAAATAATCACCCTCTTGAATGGCTGAATTGAACCTGCCACCTCCACATTTCCAGGCAGCGCATTCCATATCCTAGCTAAAGTCTCAGAGCACCATAGGATTGCTCTAGACAGAGAGAGGCATGACTGGTGGTGGTTTTAACTTGACAGTCACCACACCTCAGACAAGGGGATGGGCTGAGAAGGAGGGACTTTCATGGTAACCTCAGCAGTGTGGGAATTGAACCTAGACATATACCCTAACCACTCGCTGTATAAAAAGGTTTATTCTCCCATTCGTCTTGCTTTGTTTGCACATCACTTTAAATCCATGCCCTCTCAGTCTTTCTATTTATGAGTGAGAACAGCTTCTCCCTTTTCTGCTCTATCCAGTGTGTTTATGGTTTTGTAAAGCTCAGTCAAATTTCTTCTTAGCCTTCTGCATTCCAAGGTGAGCAGTCCCAAACTCTTCAATCTTTCCAAATTTAACATTTAGTCAGAGAGATAGCACTTTCAGCAGTGCAGTACCCACTCCATACATTCCTATCTTGGCACTCTACTCTCTGAAGTGAGACAGGAGTGTGCGGCTTTCCAACTCCAAGTCTGGAGTGCTACCACAGAGTTGACGGACTGGGAAAGGTCCAGTCTAACCAATTCCTGTGCTGTTTCACTCGTCTGTTTTTATTCACCTGATGTGGAGGTGCTGGTGTCGGACTGGGGTGGACAAAGTCAGAAGTGACAGAACACCAGGCTATTATCCAACAGGTTTATTTGAAAACACAAGAGCTTTCAGAGCACTGCTCCTTCATCAGGTGAAGTCTTCACCCGACAGAGGAGCAGTGCTCTGAAAGCCTGTGATTTCAAATAAAACTGTTGGACTATAACCTGGTGTCATCTGACTTCTGACTTTATTCACATGGAGAGAGGAACACCATCAGCAGAATTTGGTTGAGGAGCAGAGAATGTTCTGGGTCTGTCACATTTTATCAATGATTAGAAAATGCCACACCCAGTTAAAAGTTGTTGAGACTGCATGGAACTGGAATCCTGCCCACTGGAAATAAGATGTCTCCTGTTTAAAGGAGGAACGGGAAACATTTTTGGGGCAGCAATACAGAGTGGATTTGGCCTGTTTTATTTTGCTTTGTTCTTTAACACCAGGTTCTATACAAGGAAGTTACAATCACTGCAGAGTTTCACTCTGCCAATAACAATAATATGCCCACGGCAGCATTACATAATGAGTGCTCACATAGGCAAGCACTGAGCGTTTTGTTTTTAACAAGGTGAAGGCTGGGTGAAATGCTATTCCAAAGATCAAACAAAGTTCCTACCATCCAGTGATTTATTCCAAATGTTGAGAGTATTGCGTCACATATCGCCGACAGGGATAAGCAGGTGGAAGGGAACTTTCCTCTACTTACACTTTAACTCGCTAGAAGTATCTTCATGAATAGATTTTAAATGTGAGAATTTCCTGGATTTCACTGGCAAGTGGAACAGTGGTTAGCACTGCCGCCTCACAGCTCCAGGGACCCAGGTTCAATTCCACCCTCGGGCAACTGTCTGTGTGGAATTTGCAGATTCTCCCTGTGTCTGCGTGGGTTTCTTCTGGGTGCTCCGGTTTCCTCCCACAGTCCAAAGGTGCATAGGTTAGGTGGATTGACCATGCTAAATTGCCTGCAGTGCCCAGAGATGTGCAGGCCTGGTGGATTAGCCACAGGAAACGCAGGGTTACAGGGATAGGGTAGGAAGGTGGGACTGGGCAGGATGCTTCTTTGGAAGGTCAGATGTGGAGTCAATGGGCCGAATGGCCTGCTTCCACACTGTGGATATCCTAAGTGAGTATGTGATAATTGAGTCTGTGTCATTCCTAGCCTACGATGAGCAATAGACAAATTGTCTGCTTCCTCAGCCTTGAGCACACACCTCTGACTGGAGAAGTCACTTGGTTTGGTGTGTGCACATTGGCTGAGGGGAGATTGCTGACACAAGCACAGAGTAACAATGAGATTCTGCCACCTTCACAGCTGGCGGGGGGGGGGAGCGGGTAGGAGGTAGGGGGTAGGAATCGAGTGAATTTATTCTAAAATTTATTTTAGAGCTTTGTGATCACAGTTAAACAGTCGACGATTTGTAAGTAATTTTCTGGTTGCTTACTACATTTGCTAAGAAGCTAAAGTTTGGATATGATGCATTAGGTAATGAGGTAAAGGAAGTTTACAGCTGTGACAACTGGGGATGATTCATTGATACCAAAGCACAAACAGGCTGTTGGTGCAGAATGTTGCAGTCTCATTCAAGTAGTAGCGGTGCATCCTGCTCTCTAGTCAAGGTGTTAGAGAGCTCTTCTCTTGGTCTTCCTCCTCTCCTTCCGATCTGTCTTCCATCTGCCTGATGTTGTCTGCGCAATGAAGACTGCTCTCTGACAATCTTCTGATGTGAACCAGCTGCCTTACCAGGTCTGTTTGATGAGAACTCCCCAAGAACAGGACCTCCCCTCTGCCCCGAGTTGACTCTATTCTTGGTTTCGGTGCAGACCCTCCAGCGTGGATCTGACCTAACGCCTGTGTAGTTACTCCAGCACGGAATCTGGCTCCTGAACTCTCCAGGCTCTGTGTGCCTTTTCCAACACAGATGTGGCTTCTCTAACCTCCTTGGCCCCAGGGCAATTATTCCAAGGCAGAATTAGTCTAGCACCAGCAGCTTCCCCCAGCGCCTCCTACCCTTAGTGCTTCTCTCTCTGAGCCTGGCACTTCCTGTTATATCATATTTCTAAGGGCCGGTTACTTTCCCAGTATTAATCGATTGCCTGAATCCTTTCGGCCAACGGCCATAGGGCAGCCAGTCATGACATTGGATGATTGTCATCTGAGATTACGTTCTTTCTAAAAAAAAAATTTCTTACATTCGAAAGGACATTGATAGTAGGACGTGTTTGGTGCCAGATAAATTGTTGATGCTAGCTCGATTGGTTCATGACCTTCGTGTTTTCAGTTATTCTCTGCTTTCATATTGGAAAGTTAAGTACTGCTGTAATATGAAATCTCAGGCTACACAGTAAATATGTGGAAGATTCAGTTTTGAAGGAGCCTCAATGTTCAACAATTAATTTCCTTGAATATCCCCAATTTGTATTTAATCGTCACCCTGTGGGTTTGTGATATCACAAATAGCCATGACTTACCCATCACTGTCCTTTGTGTTTCTGCTGGCTCTTCCCTCTAATTTTCACCTTTCGGAAATCCATTTTGTTCTGAGCAACAGTTTGGGGCATACTCTATGAGGCTAACTGCTGTATTTGTGAAATGCTGCACCTTCAGCGTGAATGTTTTATTTCCCCCTCTATAGTTCTTGGCCATTGGTTCTTGATTGTTGGACAGAGGTTGGACCAATCATCCGAAAGCCCAAGACCCACCCCCCACACTGTCCCTGTAACCCTACATTCCCCATGGCTAACCCACCTAACCTACTCATCCCTGAGCACTGTGGGCAATTTAGCATGGCCAATCTACCTATCCTGCACATCTTTGGACTGTGGTAGGAAACCGGATCACCCGGAGGAAACCCGCACAGATACGGGGAGAATGTGCAAACTCCACACAGACATTGCCTGAGGCTGGAATCAAACCCGGGTCCCTGGCACTGTGAGGCAGCAGTCCTAACCACTGAGCTACTTTGCCGGCCATAGACGGCAATGAAACGCGCTGTATTGTGGGAATAAATTCTTCAGGGAAGATAACCTGACACCCCTCCATATTCCACCTAGAGTAATGTCAGCACCACATTGCGTGACATTGACTCTTAAAGTGTTCTGGATAATTAATGATGAACAATAAATACCGCCTCATCAGAGTTGCCTGAATGCCCTAAAACAAAATTGGGATGATGCAATATGGTTAGAATCGGTTATTACTACTTCATGGTAATGCTGTATCACATTCAATACAATGGATGGTCAGCATATATATCCATCCAACTATTGCTCAACTTAAATAGTGTCTTAACCAAGCTCTCTGTCCCTCCACAGGTATGAATAATCGTGAGGTGTTGGAGCAGGTAGAACGTGGTTACAGAATGGCATCTCCACAGGATTGCCCCAGCTCTCTGCATGAGCTCATGATTCAGTGTTGGAAGAAAGACCCAGAGGAGAGGCCTACTTTTGAGTATCTACAGGCCTTCCTTGAGGACTACTTCACTGCGACAGAGCCTCAATATCAGCCAGGAGACAACCTGTGATTGGCTGTACTATTGAAAACTGCTCGTCAATGGGTGCTCCTCTCCTCTCCCCATTTGTCCTGCTGGAGTGATCACCAGAGTCTGAATCACCGTCCTGCCGGAACTGGTAACTTCTAATATCATGCTCCTACTCCCTTGCCGTGGAATACAGGCATCTTCCCTTCAGCCACGTGGCTTCTCTTTTTGAAAATGTCAGAATGTTCATATTGTATAATAGTCATTGTTGAACTGATGGAGAACCATCTCTAAAATGCTACTTATTGCCGAGAAATATTTGTCTTCCCCACGCTCCCCACTGCCTGCCTGTCAGTTCAATGCTATTGAAACTCGAGGGGTCGCAAGCAGCCAGTTTTTGCCCCTGTGCCATGTCGAAAAGCCAGTGGCATCAAGTGAATGTCTCCTTCCTTTTGCTGCCAGACCACTGGTTTCTTTCTGAAGAGGTTTCTCATTGTTGCATAAGTCTCCACAGACATCCACGGCTTTTCAGTCAATGCTGTTGCAACTCAGCTGAGGAGAGGAAGGCTATTTGCAACTGAAAACCTTCACGTATAAAACTTGGACTCACATTGACATTTCTTCTGTTTGTCTCCCCATTCCCCCTCGACCCCAGATATTTGCATATTGCTATGGTTGTGAACCACTCAGTGACATAGGATGCTGCCAAAAGCATTTGGCGTCTTGTTTGCACATTGCTGCACTGTCCTGATCACAAATTGTTCTGATTTGTTTTTATTACTACTCCATTTAAGTTTATAGACTTGTAAGAATTTTTTTTTAAAAAAAACCTAGTGATGTAATATTATGTCATCTGAAAAGGATATATTTAAAGAAATTGTGCTAAAGATCTAATTACTTATCATTTACCCCGAGGATGATAGTGATGTGAATGAAACTGTAGTTCAATTGGCACTAAGTGATCACAACAGACCCGACGCTGACTATATTCTGTGTACCGCTGAGTATACTCACCAGGTTAATGCTGAGAGCTCGTGAGATGTGGAAGTTTTGCCGTGCAGACGACATTTCGTGGGAGCGTTGTCTGAACACCTCTTGCAGTTCATAATCGTGCTGAGCAGTTTAAACTGAGACTGACCCTGTCCTTGAGAAGTATGCAGGATATCCCGAAGGGGTTAGCATGACAAATGCAGTCATTTAATGGACAAAAGGACAGAGCTCCAACCATTCCAGAGTGTCTTTTACATCTAACTTCACTTGCTGATTTTTTTTTTTAAATGCTTTTGTATGTGTAACTTTGACGTACGTGCAGTAACCACTTGCATTTCCAGATTGCTTCCTGTTCAGCCAATTACATCCTAAAGGATTATTTTAATAGAATTACTATGCACTCGATAACTTTGATAGCAGATGCACAAATGTAGTAATATGTTTTCAGATGTTACTACATTCCTTTAATTGCCCATGTGGTCCAAACTTTGGAATCTTGGTATTTGTACATTTTAACCAAATGATGCCTCTGCATTGTTTTTATTTTCTCCCTCCCTTCCAACTCACATGAAGAATATAACATTTCAACTGACATCAAATATACATTTTACCATTTCTGTACCAGTTGACATATTTTACATAGCTATTCAATTTTCCTAATCCATTTCTTGTCATTTTAAAACCTGTACAATAAAGATCTTAGCCAGGTCCACCCACCTCTGGAATCATTTATACTGTGTCCAAATTCAGCTGTACACAGGACAATAAAAAAAATGAAAGACCTTTCTTTGGCAGGTAGCAGCTAACACCTTCGATATTTTCCAGGAGTGTGCTGTAACGGTGGGAAAAGGACCTCTTTAGCTTCGTGCAATTAGCCAATGTAACCAAAAAACCAGGTCACATGAGCGAATTGATATACAGTTCATTTTGATAAGATCTGAGCTGCAGATGCAACATTCCAGGAAGGCTTCATCAGTATGTGCCATATTGAGGAGGGTCTTCATTCAGAGAGATCGCACATTAGTTGCACTCATCATCCAGACCAACTGAGGCCAGGGTGAAACACTCCACTCTCCAGTTGTCGGATTGGAAGGATTGGTTTGGAAGGATAACAGAAAAAAAGAAGTATTTGCATTTGGACTAAAAGCACTTGAGACTTTACTGTTTCCAACTCCCTCCCTCTCCTCACCCACTGGCCCCATACAACACAACAAATGTGGAATTCTTAATCAAAGGCAAAAGACAAAACACCATGACTTTTCCATCAGGAATCGGAAAGGGTCTGGTGTGAAACGCTCGGAGCAGAATGGAAGACAATCTGGAATGAACTAATGTAACCAGACGACAAGCAAGTGAAAGCAAATGGATAGCAGAGCCCCCTGTGTTATACACCATCAAATTTCGTGAGAACAGTATGGATCATACATGGGAAATGCGACAGCAGCCTGTATATTTACTAAAGGTAGCAGAGATGGTCGATGCAGTGAAGTTATTTACTACTGTGTACGACTAGCAACCATACCCGATGTGATGTGAAATGTGGGCTGGATGGGTTAGGTATGTAGGGAAGCAGCAGAAAGGACAAATCTCTCCTGGCCATTCAGCCCATCTTAGTTCATACATTTCAAATAAAACAAACTTACATTTCCATCACCTCCAATGAAATGTTATGACCAGACACGTTCCCCTCTTCTCCCTTGTCAGCATTCTGCAGAGACCATTCCCTCTGGGACACTCTGGTCCACTGTTTCTCCATTCCTAACATTCCTTCACACCCCCATGGCACCTTCCCATGCAATTGCAGGAAGTGTAACAGCTGCCTGTTTACCTTCTCTCAATCCAGTCTATTGTGTTCGCTGTTCACAATGTGATCTCCGCTACACTGGGGAGACCAAGTGCAGACTGGGTGACTGCTTTGCAGAACACCTACGTTGTGTCAGTAAAAGTGTCCCTGAGCTTCTAGTCACCTGCCACTTCAACACACCACTGTGTTCCCACGCCAACATTTCTGTTGCAGGCCTGCTGCAGTGTTCCAGCAAGCCTCAATACAACCTCGAAGAACAAGATCTCATTTTCCGCTTGGGACCCTGTATCCTCTAGGACTCAATATCGAGTTCAAGTACTTTACAGCCTGATTCCATTCTTCAATGTTTTCTCACCCACCTCCACAGCCAGTCATGACATGGGATGCTGTCAGTACAGCTCACCCATTCTCTCCTACTCTTAGCTCTTATTATCATTTAGTCAGCTTTTCTTCTGGCCTAGCCTGCTATCCATAATCTCCTTGTTTACCTATCCCTTTCACATCTCTCTCTCCCTGGGTTCCATCTTCACCTATCTGCTCAACTCTCCCCTTCACCCCTCTCCCACCGCCTTCAATCTCGTCTTCAGCATAAATACCACTTTATCGGAACTGTTGGAAGCTCAGTAAAAGAGCCACCAGACCTGAAACATTAACTCTGCTTTCCTTCCCACAGTTGATTTTCTTGGTCTCCTGTTCTAGTCTATTTATAGCAGAGGACCCCAAATTCCACACGAAAAGGGGCCTAATGCTGAAGTCTCTTCAAACATCCAAATGAAGGCAGCCATATTGTGTTGGGAGAAAACTGTCAAAATCAACCCCAAAGTGTTTTCTGGTGTATGACCGGGATTTTCTACATTTTTTTTCAGTTTTACAATGTGTCTTACTTTTCAAATTCTCAAATGTGCTGGTGTGGATTCTGTTAGGCCTTGAAATTTTGCTACACACATTGAGAAGGTCGCAAATGCACACAAGCAGCATGTGCACACAGGAAATATTGTACACACAGGCAAACCACATACGTGACATCCTGCGCATGTACGCCACCTGTACGTGTGAGGAGAGATAACGTACCAGCCCCTTTCCTCATTGCGGACTCTCCAGCATTTATTGATTCTCCGAATGAAGGTGAATTATGTTTAAAGATAAACCTCCTGAAATAAAAGTGCTGATGATAGTTGTCTCCAGTGCCTTGAGGAAAGATGATTCACAATTTCTCCATTGTTCATTTGTGTGACAGTAACCCCGGGCTCTTTCTCTGCGATGATTTCCATGTGTATTCCTGGGAGATGTTCTGTTCATTCTCTGGCTGCTAGGCTGCCCCCATCACCCCTACCCAAGTCGAGACCTTATCTGCTGCTGTGTAATTATATTAATTATTATTGTACGTGTGTTTCTCCTCTACCACATACGCTTATCATATTTATTTGGTAATCTTCTGCCCTGAAATTGCAGCTTGGTTTTCTATTGTGTTCAAACGTCAGATACAAATAGCCTAAAAGAAATTTACATCAGACCATACCCGCCATTCAGTCACAAGGTCTGTGCCATATTTATACTCCGCATGAACCTCCCTCAACTCTTTCATCTAACATCATCACTTTATTGGTCTGTTCTTTTTTACGTGCGTATCCAGCTCCACCTGAAGGGCGTCACCAAAGTCATCCAGTTTGATTTTAATCAGAAACAAGAACAAAAACTGCTGAGGAGGGGTCACTCAACCTGAATTTCTCTCCACAGATGCTACCAGACCTGCTGAGCTTTTCCAGCAATTACTGTTTTTGTTTCTGATTTACAGCATTCACAGTTCTTTCAGTTTTTAGTTTAATTTTAAATCCACTGTAACCAACTACAGTCCACAGGTGATATTCCTACGACAGCAGAGAACAAAGAGCAGTACAGCACAGGTACAGGTCCTTCAGTCCAATAAGACTGCACCAACATATGTTCCCTTCTTAAACTTTTGCCTCTATGTGGTCCATGACCCGCTATTCCCTGCCAATTCATGTATCTGTCAAGACGCCTCTTAAATATTGCTATTGTATCTGTCTCCACCTCCCCTGGCATCACATTCCATGCACCTACTATCCTCTGTGTAAAAAACTCGCCTCACATTTAAACTTAAACCCCTTTTACCTAACCTACATCACTCTGCCTATCCATGTCAGGTTGACCTGCATCCTTCAAGTGAAAGCAAACCATGTTTGTCCATAAGCTCCTCAAAGCTACTACAGATTACAGTTAAATACAACGCACCTTCTCTGTAGCTGTAACACTATATTCTTGCAGAGATAGTAAGAACTGCCGATGCTGGAGTCAGAGATAACACAGTGTAGAGCTGGAGGAACACAGCAGGCCAGGCAGCATTAGAGGAGCAGGAAAACCGACGTTTCGGCTCGGGACCCTTCTTCAGAAACGACCTGGCCTGCTGTGTTCCTCCAGGTCCACGCTGTGTCATTTACTGTGTTCTTGCACTCTGTTCTATTACCCTGATGTATATGGTGTGATCTGTCTGGATAGCATGCGAAGCAATACTTTTCACTGTATCTTGGTACAATAATAAACCAAATCAAGTTGAATACCCTCCAGACAAGGCAACATCCTGATAAACCATTTCTGTACCCTCTCCACATTCTCCTGGTTGTGTGACAACCAGAACTGTACACAATGTTTCAAATGTGGCCTAACTAAAGTTCTATAACAACTGCAACATTGTTTGACCGATACAGGCAAGCATCCTATATGCTTCTTGACCACCATGTCCACTAATGTCGCCACTTTCAGGGAACTGTGGACCTGTACATCTCGATCCCTCTGTATGGTGATGCTTCTAAAGGTTCTGCCATTTACTGTATATTTCCCTCCTACATTAGATCTCCCAAAATATTTCACCTCGCATTTATCCAGATTAAACTACGTCTGCCATTTTTCTGTTCAAGTCTGTCACTTATCTATATCCTGCTGTATCCTCTGGCAATCCTCCTCACTAACTGCTGCTTCCCTGATCTTTGTGAAGTCTGAAAACTTACCAATCAGACCACCTACATTCTCCTCCAAATCATTTAGTTATATATGATCCCTGCAGAATACCACTGGTCACAGATCTCCAGTTGAAAAAGCACCCTTACAACTCAACTTCCTGTCTTCTATGTCCATGCCGGGTCTATATCCACCTTATCAGTTCACTGCAAATCCTTATAACTTCACATTATGTATCAACCTGTCATGAGGGACTTTGACAAAGGCTTTGCTAAGGTCCATGTAGACAACATCTACCATTTTGCAGTCATCAATCATTTTTGTCACGTCCTCAAAAACTCAATCAAGTTTGTGATACGTGACCTTCCCCACACAAAACCATGCTGCCTATCGCTAAAAATAATCCATATTTCCCCAAATGTGAGTAAATCCAATCCTGAAGAATCTTCTCCAATAATTTCCCTACCACTAATGTAAGACTCACCAGCCTGTAATTTCTTGATTTATCCCTGTTGCCTTCTTAAACAAAGGAACAATTGTGGCTACTCTCCAGTCCTCTAGGACCTCCCCGGTGACTGAAGAGGATACAAGATATTGTAGAAGGCCCCAGCAATTTCCTCCCTCAGCATTCTGGGATAGATCCCATCAGGTCTCGGGGACTTGCCTATATTCATGCTTTCTAAGACACTCATATTAACATAATATTGACAGAATATCAACATACCCCTCCCCAGACTCACTGTCCGCCATGTCCCTCTCCTTCATGAATACTGATGCAAAGTATTCACTAAGGATCTTCCCACTCCGTGCAGGAAGCAGTTTCTGTAATTCCGAATTCCAGTTTTGCAACCTGTGCTAATATATGCATTCATGTGATCTGGGATTTCAAACCACTGGACCATTTCACTTCTATCAGTCACCTATTCTACAAATGGAAATGAGCTCAGTTGGCTATGGCTGACCTCCTTAGGTGAGCACTCAATTGCTCGCCCATTCTAGCCCCATCCTAGTACAATATCCACAGGTATAACCCTGCTAAGCTGTGGGGCATGTGAAGAGCAAACCAGTGCACAAGATGGGGTGCCAGCCACCAATGGAAATGACAGCCAATTTATTTCTTAACCTCATTAAACATAATCCCACAAGGCAACAGTGGGTATGAACCTGAGCAGACATCAGATTGATGGGCAGCAATCATTTCACTTCTAAATAACATTTTGTCCTCATCACTTCATCAAATCTCTGTATCAGCAGCAATAATTTTAATCTAAAACATTTTTGAAAACTTGTCTAATCTTTGCATCTCTGCAGCTCAGTGAATGCTGGGAGAGCCAGTGAATGAGAGGTACAATCAGATGGCACTATGAGGCTGGAAGAGACGGATGCCAGGGGGTCATGTTTTGTTCTGCATTCACTGACATATCTGGATAAATCTCTTCACTAGCCCTCCCCACCCACAAAGATTTCTGCCTCACTAGAATGGAGAGACGAATGTGTGATAGCTATAAACCTGTTTCCCGAGAATGAGACACAGGCTTGTATCAAAGCATATAAATTGATAAACTTATTGATGAAAACAAGATAATTGTAAGGGTGTGCAATTTGAATAAAATTGAGAAAATGTTCAGAGTACACAATAGGCTTCTGCACACCTGAAAGATATTCCTAATCTGCTTTTTGTCTCTCTCCATGTTATCAATAGTCTAAGCATTATCGACTCTCCAGGCTTTTCTGGAAATTCAAAGAATAGAAGATCAATCTTCAGGACAATCCTGCAGAAAAATCATAAGAATATTAAAGATTGAGTTTCATTTTGTAATTTTCTCTATCAGATACAGAAACAATGAAAATGAGAATAAAAGTTTGGCTAATGGTCAAGCATCATCCAATTAAGTAATGAGTGATTTTCGCTTTCCAATTGGTGCAGAAAGGCAGCGCATCACTAGGATGGACTAATGGCTGGAACACTGGGAAGGCAATGATGTCGGACCTTCCAGGAATAGATTTAATTTCCATTGGCAATCCTAATCAGCCCTGAATTATTGACTTTTTGAACAGTGTGGGGTCGATTTTTGTTCCAAGTCTCATTTTTCTACCTCCTGTATTTAACATTTAGCAGAACACAGAATTAAGGAATTGGTCTGTGCTGCGCTGACGAAACTGGATATGGGTGAGGAACCAGAGTGTTTGACTTCCACAGTAACAATCACGCTGTTAATGCAGCCAAAATAGAGCAAAGATGCTGCAGTTAGATCTACATGTGACAAAATGATAGTGGGCCATTGAGAATCCTCGGCATATTTTCCTTTTCCCTCCCTAACTCTTACTGAGTTCCTCACTATAGCTCACATCGCTGAACTGGCAGAACCTTTTCAGTCAGTTAGGTTGTTCCTCAGTTTAGCACCTCGCCTGAAAGCATCAGTTCTTCACAGTCAAAACTAATGGTAAAATAAAAGTTATGACTTTCAGTCCTAATAGGCATTTGGGATCTTAATTAAGATAACAGCTAGATGGATATTATGTGAATCAACGTGTATGCCATTCAAATGCCAGGGACACCAATGTGGCTCAGTGGTTAGCACTGCTGCCTCACAGCGCCAGCGACCCAGTTCGATCCCACCCTCGGGTGACTGTCTATATGGACTTTGTATGTTCTCCACGTGTCTGCATCAGTTTCCTCCGGGTGCACCAGTTTCCTCCCACAGTCAAAGATGAGCAGGGTAGGCGGATTGGCCGTGCCAAATTGCCCATAGTGTCCAGAGGTATAGGTTAGGTGGGTTAGCCATGGTAAAAACCCCATATTGAGTTATGGGGATAGGGTGGCAGGGGTGGGTCTGGGTTGGATGATCTTCTGAGGGTTAGTACAGACTCAATAGGCCAAATGACCTCTTTCACACTGTAGGAGTTCTATGATTCTATGCTTTAATGGCTGTCTTCAAAAAAGAGGATTGAACCATCTCCCCTTGACATTCAATGGTGTTACCGTCACTGAATTCCCCACTATCAATATCCTATTCCTTCACTGTCACTAGCTCTAACTCCTGGAACTCACTTCCTTACCAGCACTGTGGGTGTTTCTATACCCCTTGGGGTGAAGTGGGGTTTTACACAACCTTCACCAGAGCAGGGTCGGATACACAATAAGTACAAGCGGAGCCAGCAATTCTCACATCCCATCAATGAATCTTGGATCTTCAAACTGTGTGCTTCTCAGTTTCTTCTGTGGAAAAGCATGCACCACAGCTTTAATCCGTGTCGATGGTATTTGGTTCTTCACTTTGCCTGAGGGTCTGTGCTGAAGTAGGAAAATCTTGTTACTTCAACATCTTGAATATTTCTCCATTTCGCTCAGTGATGGTGGATCAATTGGTGAATCATTCTTGTTCAGTATGATGTCTCTTATTTTTGTTGGTGATTCTTCTTTGAAAGCTGGGAAGGTCAGATATTTTGGTTGACCTGGTCCCTTCCTTATGGCAGATTTGAATTTAGAGCCAAGATGTGTAGCCATCTGACTCCATTGAGTTTGAAAACAGCAGAAACCGTGCTACCCCAGCTACTGTAGTCACAGCTTTCCATCTCATTCACAATATGAATTTTCTTTAAAATTCCAACACAACTAACTCCAGTTGATTCTGTTTTGTGGTTAGGTTTCCTGAAGAGCTTATGGACCCCAGCAGAATTTCACCCCCTCTGAGCTCGGCTTTTCTTTTACCTTTTGTGACAAATCTTTTATGTGAATGGCCCGACCACCTGCATTGACCTAGATGCCACAAGCGTCCACACCAAACACAGCTGTCAACTTTGCAAACGTCTGGGGCCAGCGCCAAAATTAGGAGAGCTGTCTCACAGACTGGTCAAGCAACTGACCAATATATTCTCAGGATCATACCCATGGAATAGCAGCTCACAAGTGTCCCAGACAATGGATGTCATGATGTTTCATGGCATCAGGTCAAACATGGGCAAAGACGATTCCAGCTGATTACCACACATACCATCCTCCCTCAGCTGATGAATCAGTATTCCTTCATGTTGAACAACACTTTGGATGAAGCACTGAGGCTGGCAAGGTTGCAAAATCTACTCTGGGTGAGGGATTTCAATGTCCCCACCACCAAGAGTGGCTTGGCAGCCATTTTGAATAATTTAAGTATAAGGGAAAAAAGAGATATAGCTTGAAGAGAGTCCATCCGTCCTGAGCCAGCTCATCACCGTCAACAATGGCCACACCACCATCCCTCTGTCACTGCTTCGCCACTGACTACGCCAGACCCAACCAACATTGAAGTCGCTGATCCTCAGACGCCATCTTTGCGACTGGGCCAATTCTCCCCCACCACCACCTATGCTGGACTAACCAACGGTCGCGTCTCTCACCGCTGGGCCCACCTCTTCTGTATTGCTGTGATGCCCTTCCACAGCCGCCAGCGCTGGACCCAGCCAACATGAAGCTGCCAATCCTCAGGCACCATCTTTTGCCGTTGGGCCTACTTCTCTGACGTCGTCTCTGTTGATGTAGCAGCCACTGATTCCACGTCCTGTGCTCACTCTGGAAAAGTAAGCAGTGGCTCACTCTTTTCCACACTGGACCTGCTCAAGTTCTGCACCCTGTGCCCAGCTCAAGACGGCTCACAGTTGGCGCCCTGGGCCCATTTGATGTCCTCGCCCTGGGCTCTCGCCACCGCCAATGCCGTCCAAACTGAGGACAAGGTAAGTAAAACAAAGGAAAGAGATGGAAAAATAAAAGAAAAAGTAAAGTGGTTGGAGTGGATGAGTACAGGAGACCAACTCCGCCGCCATCTTGGACCAGATGGATGTTCGCCGATGATTGCACAATGTTCAGCGCCAAATGCAACTCCTCAGTTGCATGTCCATGTCCAAATGTAACAAGATCTGGACAAAATCCAGGTTCGGGATAACAAGTGGCAGGTAACATTCATGCCACACAAATGTCAGACAATGACCATCACCAATAAGAGACAATCTAACCACCGCCCCTCGACATTTAATGGTGTTACCATCATTGAATCCCCGACTATCAACATCCTGAGGATTACCATTGACCGGAAACTCAACTGGACTCACCACATAAATGCAATGACTACAAGGGCAATCTTGGGATCCCACAGCAAGTAACTCACCTCTTGACTCCCAAAGCCTGTCCATCATCTATAAGCCACAAGTCGGGACTGTGATAGAATACTCCCCATTTGCCTGGATGGGTGCAGCCCCAACAACACTCAAGGAGCTTGACACCATCCAGGTCAAAGCAGCCCGCTTGATTGGCAGTACATCTACAAGCATCCACTCCCTCCACCACCGACACTGAGCAACAGCAGTGTGTACTATCTACAAGATGCACTGCAGAAATTCACCAAAGCTCCTTGGACTGCACCTTCCAAGCCAACGACCACTTCCATCTAGAAGGAAAAGGGCAGCAGATACATGGGAACACCACCACCTGCAAACCAGTCACCATCCTGATATATCGACACTCCTTCAGTGTCACTGGGTCAGAATCCTGGAACTACCTCTCCCATAGCATTGTGAGTATACCTATACCAAATAGACTGCAGTGATTCGGAAGGCAGCTTACCACCTTCTCAAAGGCAAATAACGATGGACAGTAAATAGTGGCCCATCCAGCAATGCCTTCATCCCATTTGTAAATAATTTTAAAAAGTACCCATGGATTTTCTGGTGTTTATTGTCCTCCCTGTAAGGGAGTTGCTTATAGCATACCTTCATGTTAAGTGTAATGTTCCCTGAGCCATGTGACTGAAATTCTGGTGATTATAAGTAGTGGCTTATCAACCAGGGCTCTCTATCTGACAATTTTTTAGACAATAAAATAATATATAGTGCAGGGAAGGCGAAGGTCTTACGATATTTTCCAAGGGACCTCAGCAATGTTCTGAGTACTCAGGTTTGAAACCCACTGTGGCAGATGGTGGAATTTGAATTTAATCAAAAAAAATGCAAAAGATGGAATTAAGAGTCTATTGATAACTATGGAACAATTGTCAAGAAGCCCCATCTGGTTTACCAATGTCCTTTAAGGAAGAGAACTGCTGTCCTTACCTGGTCTGACCTACATGTGACTCCAGAAATACACCAATGTGGTTGTCTCTTAACTGCCCTCTGGGCAATTAGAAATGGACAATAAATGTTGACCTAGCCAGCCATATCCACATCACGTGAATGAATTTTTAAAAATTGTTTCCACATCTAACATGAAATTTAAGATGCCTATTGACATAAGTGTGAGCATGTTTGACTTGGCTATCTGATATCTCCAGAAAAATTCTTTGGATATGTCTTCTACTTTTCCATCTTACTTATGTGTGCAGAAAGCTCTTTCATCATTTGCTTTCTGTGCCTGTGTTCTACTTCAGCACTTCTCAAAACATGACCTACTTCCTTACGACAAATACATTTTGGTTATAAAAGCTGGACACTGTTCATGCCTGTGAGGTTTCTTTGCTGTATAGCTTTGGCAGAGAATTTTATAGTCTGGTATCTGACCTACTTACTGCAGTGGCTTAACCGATGTGTGTTTTGTGGTTGTGCAACTTAAGAAATGAATAGGTTCTGTCAACCTCCTGTGCCAAGTTCTATCTTTTATTGGATCTGATCTGTTTTGCTTCTAGACTTCGATGTCACTCACTATCTGAATGACCTTTGCTGGGTTGAAAGAAATCTAACAAAGACTCATCAGTAATGCCAACAAAAATTAACTCTGACTTTAGATTGTACGATTACACCTGCCCAC